ATAACTATTGTTTTTATTGAAGAACGTGCAGTTCTTGAAATTTCTGAAATCAAATACAGTGAGTAAGTGGCTAATTAATTTAATATACTGACACTCACTGTTTTAAACTCATGTTTTGACAACAAACTGATTTGTCAATTACAGCATAAACACCTTGCAATAAAAATAGCTTGTGTGCAGCAGAGGGCGACACAGCATCACTGCACTAATGAAGAATTAGATACTCACGAGACTGGAGAAATTAACTCAGTACTCCTTCATTAACTCATCACATGACACCAGGATAACCTGCGAAGTACAGTAATTGAAGGCTGTTTAATTACAGAGCATTCAATTCTATAAATATCATATATTTCATTCTATTTATATAATTGAATTAACTAAATTATAAGCATAAATTATATAAAATATATACATATTTGAGCTGTTGAGCATTTACATTTTTTAATGAGAAATCACCCCCAAAAGATAATTTAAAGTCATTATTTTTAAGCAAGAAGAGCATTGATTAGACATTGCAAAAAGTAGTTTTAGAAATAAATATTTTGATTCAATATTGCATATATAATGAAATTACATTGGTGTTAATGTTTGTTGTGAATGTTGTGAAATATGCAATTATTAAAAAAATTAAATGATACTCTAATTATGAACCTAAAAGTGTCAGTAGGTGGCAGTAAGTCACTTTCTTAATAAGTAAGTCAACTGATTCATTCAGAACTAAGCAAGAGACTGTTTTAATGAACGAGTCTCTGAATCACCGACTCACTTGATTCATTCAAATGGCTGATTCATTCAGAACTAAGCAAGAGACTGTTTTAATGAACGAGTCACTGAATCACCGACTCACTTGATTCATTCAAATGGCTGATTCATTCAGAACTAAGCAAGAGACTGTTTTAATGAACGAGTCACTGAATCACCGACTCACTTGATTCATTCAAATGGCTGATTCATTCAGAACTAAGCAAGAGACTGTTTTAATGAACGAGTCACTGAATCACCGACTCACTTGATTCATTCAAATGGCTGATTCATTCAGAACTAAGCAAGAGACTGTTTTAATGAACGAGTCACTGAATCACCGACTCACTTACTGATTCGTTCAAAACCGTTGATTCATTTAGTAACAAAACACCATCAGAAACTGCATCAGTGTAAGATGACGTGCAGGTCTGGACTGGGCGGTGAATTAAATGCATTAATCATTTTAACATATAATCTTTTTCTAAAATCACACCAAGTAAACACGTTAAATCGACAGCCTAATAAATATCTGACGTCGCTGCCATATGATTGGTGTTGATGAGCGTCACCTTGTTTGTAAGTGATGCTCTTCTGTATCTTGATGAGGTTGGGCAGGTGATTGACCAGGTGTGGCCCGCAGGTGACGCCCATTCGACCGCCGTCGGCTCCACAGACAGAGCGTGATGCTCAGCACATGCTTACAGAGATCATATGACACGCCAAGACCAGCAGAGACCAGCAGAAACCAGCAGAGACCAGAAACCAGCAGAGACCAGCAGAAACCAGCAGAGTCCAGCAGAGACCAGAAACCAGCAGAGACCAGTAGAAACCAGCAGAGACCAGAAACCAGCAGAGACCAGAAACCAGCAGAGACCAGCAGAGACCAGAAACCAGCAGAGACCAGTAGAAACCAGCAGAGACAAGAGACCAGCAGAAACCAGCAGAGCCCAGCAGACCTGAATCTGAACAACACAGAGATTCACTCCAGGAACTGATGCAGCAGCAGAGACCAGCAGAGACCAGAAACCACCAGCAGAGACCAGAAACCAGCAGAGACCAGCAGAGACCAGAAACCAGCAGAAACCAGAAACCAGCAGAGACCAGCAGAAACCAGCAGAGACCAGCAGAAGCCAGCAGAAACCAGCAGAGACCAGCAGAGACCAGAAACCAGCAGAGACCAGCAGAGACCAGCAGAGACCAGCAGAGACCAGAAGAGACCAGAAACCAGCAGAGTCCAGCAGAGACCAGAAACCAGCAGAGACCAGCAGAAACCAGCAGA